CCTTGGAAACTCTATGGGGCAGTTCTACTCTGTCCTATAGGGTCCTTATGAGCCAGAATTGACTCGATGCCAAAGAGTTAACAGATTTTCTTCCCAATTAAAACAAAATTGCTTTAAAAAGGTAAGAAGTGACACCCTTGATGAATCTGTCTATGTGAAAGAATTGCCTAGTAAATTTAACTGAGACAAGGAAAATGTTGAGGGCTGTGTTATGGTCTTTATTTAATGATTCATTTATTCAACAGATTTTTATTGATTGCCTGGTTTGATCCAAGCCACATGCTAGGATACAAAAGTAAATAAATACATTCTCCTTCCTCAAGGAATCCATGGTCTAGCGGAAGAAACAGACAAGTACATGAGTAAAATGTGTTGTGGAAAGAGTTATGATCACAGCGTGTTCTACAGGTGTACAGAGATGGCCTTTGGATGAACACAAACACAAGTTCAGCCACTTTTTAAAATGTAAACCCATTGCCCTTGAGTCAATTCTGACTCAGCGACCCTATAGGACAGAGTAGAACTGCCCCATAAGGCTTCCAAGGCTGCAATCAAGGAAGCAGAGTGCCACGTCTTTTTCCTGTGGAACAGCTGCTGAGCTCTGAACCATCAACCTTTCAGTTAGCAGCCAAGTACTTAACCAGTGTACCACCAGGACTCCTTTTTAAAATGTAAAGGGTAGTGTTAAGTGAAATCAAAATGGAGTCAATGTGGTTGACAAAATGGTGTTAGTGGTCAAGTGGACAATACACCAAAGACCTGTCTTTACTGAAACTTAGGGCTAGCTTTCCTGTAAACCAGGCCACCCTCACTGATGAACATGGTTCTGACAGCACTTCCACCCTTGTTGACCAATGAGATTCTCACAGAGCGTCCACCCTTGTTGACCAATGAAATCCTGACATCATTTCAATAGTAAATTGTATAAGCCAATAAGACATAAGCTTCTTTTGCTTCTGAGTTTTTGTCAATATAAACCAATCATTGCTGATTCCACATGTGTTTTGGTGCTACCCATTTGTGAATCTTTTGCCCAAATAAACCTCATCTAATAGATTAATTTTATTATTGACTCGGTTTCTTTTTACTGTAGTAATCAAACCAATTGCCAGCGAGTCGACTCTGACTCAAGGCAACCCTATGTGTGTCAGAGTAGAACTGTGCTCCGTAGGGTTTTCGATAGTTGATTTTTTGGGAAGTAGATCACCAGGACTTTCTTCTGAGGTGCCTTTGGGTGGACTTGAACCTGTAATCTTTCTGTTAGTAGCCGAGTACTTAACTGTTTGCACTACCCAGAGACTCCATAAAAGGTCGTATACTGTACAAACTCTTTGGTTTGGTTTTGTTTTTTTTCACTGTACAATATATCCGGGAGATCACTCCACCTAGTAGCTGTGCATTTTAAAGACATCTTCTGTGGGAACATAATTTGCTGTATAAACTTTCACTAAAAACACAATAAAACATTACTGACAAAAAATAAAAATAAAG